AGAAAAAAATTTTGATGATAAAATTGTTTCAAGTTTAACAAAACAAAACAAAAAGAGTTAGGTCATAAATTGTCGAATTTTTTTTTGAAATTTTCTATGAGCGAAAAAAAAATTCCATGTGATGCGGCCAACAACAAAAAAAAACTGATGTTGATCATCATTAACAGAATTTCAGATTCAATAACCTTATTATTTGTAATTCAATGCACAATTGATCATGATTCCAACATTGTTTGTTTGTTTGGTACATTCATAAAGAACGAACGAACGAAAAAAAAAGGAAAATTTAAATTTCAAGCATCATTGTTTCATACTGTGTTGTTTACTTTTACAATATTTTTTTTTACCTAATTGCTTCTCTTGTTGATTGATTTTCGGTATTTTTTTTCATTCTCTCTCTCTCTATTTCTCTCGTTTTCGGTAAATATATTATATTGCACACTTGAACAAACACACACACACGAATTTTGTTGAATTCTTCATTCTTTTTGTTTTCTGCTCATATCTATTAGCATTTTTTTTTTTGTTAGAATCCATATCCACTTGATCGGATTTTGTCATTTTTTTTTTGTTCTCTAACCAAATCTCCCTATTAGTCAAATCAACTTGACTTTGAAATCTACCCATCATGGCATCATTTTTTTTTGTTTTTGAACATCAATTTTCAAATCAAATCAATCAATCCGAAAAAACAATATCAATCAATCAATCAATCAAATTCTTTTTCAAATCACTCAACAACAACAACAATTGCAATTGATCATCATCAATTCAACAATTTGTCGGCATCGTTTTTTTTTCTTTGCTTTGAAAAAAAATAGATAAATAAATAGAATCAAGTGAAAAAGGAAAAAAAAATTCAAGTGCCATGTTGTTGTTGTTGTTGTTGTATTTGTACAAACGTTGTTTTTTTCCATTTTATTGTTATTCATCGTCATCATCATTTATTTGGTTTTTTTTCAGGGGATTTATTGATCGATTGATAATGGTGTATTGTAGATGGATGGATGGATGGTAGATTTTTTTCTGTTCAAAAACTTTATTTGTCTTTTTTGTTTTGTTTTTGTTTTAACTTAAAATTTTTTTTTTTTGGCCAATCATTCACTGTTTGAATAAAATGATGATTTTATTTATACAGCAACAACAAGTTTTGAATAACAACGACAAGGTTTTTAGTTTTTGTGGTTCTTTTTTTTTTGGTTTTTTTCGTTTTGGTTTTGCAATTTCAACTAATTTAAATATATTCGGTTTCAATTTTGTTTTTTTTTTTTTTTTTTTTTTTTTATTATCTTTGCATCGTTTTTTCCATTTTATTTGCTGTTGTTGTTGTTGTTGTTATTGTGGTATGTAAACATGTTTTTGAAAAGAAAAGGAAAAAAATTTCAGAAAATACACCTACGAAGAAAATGATGAAAAAAAAACATTGTCTAATACCGAATTTATAATTGGTGATGAAAGAAAATAAAAATAATAAAAAAAAAACACACGCCGGAAATGGATCTAGATTTTATTATTATTATTATTATTATTATTCCGGAATCAATCAATATCAATATCAATGAATGGAAAACGGGTGAATTTTTCAATCCACACCATTTGGTTCAATCTTTTTTTTCCCCCACTTTTAAAACATTGTGTATAGTGTGTGTTTGCATATAGATTGAATTAGATTGCAGCAGCATTATTATTATTGTTGTCGGTGGCGGACATTGTCGGCTTTTTTTTTGGACGGCGCGGTAAAACAAATTGGACACCAAATATTTCATTAAATACACACACACACACACACACACACAGAGAAAAACACAACGTTTTTTTTATGTTGTTGTTTAACGAAAAAGAAAAAAAAATTTAAACTCAAGTTTTGTGTGTGTGTGTATTGAAAGAAAGAAAATTTTTATGGCCTTTTGTCTTTTTTTTTTGTTCTTCTTTATTTCTTTGTATGAGAATCAACAACAACCATGTTCCGATGTTAGTGTGTATTTAAATTTGTTTTCTTTCTTTCTTTCTTTTTTTGTTGTTTCTTTTTTTTTTCATAGTTAATTTGCTCTTTTTCTTTTTTTCTTTGTTGTTCTGGTTATATAATATATCGCATCATTTTCTTTTGATGTTTTCTCATCATCATCATCATCATCATCATCATGGAGAAAAAGAATCGATGTTCAACCTGTCCATTTCGGTTTTTTTTCTCTCATTTGGCTATTGTTTTTTTTCTTTTTGAACTGGACTGTTGTTATATAACCCGAAATGAATTTTTTTTTTTTGTTTTGTTTCCACTGACCGATCGATGATGGTGGTGGTGGTGGTGTTGGCGGTTGTAGTGATTGGTTATATTGATAAACTGGTTAAATCTGGTTTCAATTGTGTGAATAATATGAGCAATATAGACACATTGTTGCTCATTTGTTTACAATCACCATTTTTTTTTTTTGGTTGGTCATCTATTTTTGACAATTAACAAAAAAAAGCCAAAAAAAAATTGGATTTTCGTGAACATTCGGTCAATCGATTAATACGATCCATTTTTTTCTTCTAATTATTTTTTCCATTTTCATTTATCCATAATTTTTTTTCTGCCATTGATTTCAATCAATTAATCATCATCATATAGATTATATTTCCAATGGATATAAAAGGCGCCACCTTTTTTTTTATTGCTAAATTCTGCTATATATATAAAAAATGTGGTTATAATATATGTCGATTCGATGACGCCCATTTTCTTTGTAATTGTACATCCCACACACACACACACTATTGCCGATTATATTTACTACTTCTATATAAACATCCTCATCATCATCATCATCATCATCGTCGTCATCATCATCAGTGTATATAGAAAGATAATGATGATGTGTGTGTGTGTGTGTCAATAGGAATGCTTCAAAAGAGACACCGGTTTTTTTTTCTTATTTCTTTCTTTTTCTTAATATTATTTTGTATATAAAAATGATGATGATGATGATAACTTTTAAGTGTTTAAACATTATAGAGCGAATTTTTTTTTTCGTTCAATCATCATTGGTGGTGGTGGCTAAGATGTTTATCATCATTGAAAAAAAAGAACACACACACACACACACGCATACAAAATAATAATGTTGTGGTTGTGGCCATCATCAACAACATGGACATGGACGAACCAATTAAATTGCTTCAACATCATCATCATCATCATGATGTATGAAAGATGAAAAAAAAATTTCGAAAGAAAAAAAAATTAACGGCAAAAAAAAAATTCATTCATCATCCATGATTAATTGGATCTAGTGAATAAACAAAATCAAAATCATAATACAGAGAGAGAGAGAGATTACAAAATAAAAGTTTTTTTTTGATTGATTTTTCTGATTTTTTGATTTTTCATTTATCGAAAAAATTTCATCATCACTACCTATGGATTTTTTTTAAATAAAATTTTTTTTTTATTATGCTGTTGTACATCATCAACATCATGTACGTCATCGGCAGCGGTATCGGGGACTAAAACAAAAACAAAACAAAAAAAGCTAGCGCAACAATGAAATAAAATATACATATATATCGTGAACACACACAAGTCCTTCAAAAAAAAATTTCTTTTTTGGTTCATCATCATCTGTAATCAATAGAAATTTTTTTTTCTGTTTTTACAACAACAAGTTTTTCGTTATTATTGCTGCTGCTGTTGCTGCTGTTCATATACGTATTTGATGATTGGTTATTGCAATGGCTATTTATGTGTGTGTGTGTGTGTGTTTGGTTATTTGTATTTGTGTGTGTGTGTGTGTGTGTTCATGTGATTGTTGTTCATAAAAAAAAATGTGAACATCAGAGAAACAAACGAAATGAAATGAAACGAAACAAAAAAAAAACAACAAGAATGAGAATGGATGTATGTAAAATGAAATACAAAGAAAGAAAGAAAGAAATAAATACACAGTATGAAATAAAGTTAGTTTGAAGAATGAAAAAAAAAATGAGAAAGATTGAAAACAAAAAAAAAATATATTTTGGGTTGAAAATAAATAGAAAAAAAATTTCCACTATCAGGTAGCTATTTGATGTTTTTGGTTGTTGGTCAATGTTGTTGTTCATGATCATCATTCAGTTTTGTTTTGTGTATGTAATCTGTATGATGATTTTTGTGATTTTTGAAAACGATTGTGTGATATATGATCATAATGATGATGATGATGATGATAGAAAAAAATGCTCTGAAATTATTGATCTATAATTGATGATTAAAAATTAATCAATCAATCAATCAAAAAAAAAGAATGCAATCTTCAAATATTAATAATTCATCACCATCATCATCATTGACAAATGATTATCAATTAAATTCAAATTATTTACATTATGATCAATCAATGCAATATATAACAACAACAACAACAACAATGATTACGACAACAACAGCAACATCGACAACAACAACAACAACACCATCATCATCATCATTATTGAATACATCATCACATTATTATTATCCTCATCATCATCATCATGATTTAGATTCAAATAATTTCTATCATCATCATCCATTTTATTCATCAAATGATCATCGTCATTATCATCATCCACATTATCATCAAAATTCATCGATAGATTATCATAATCATCATCAATCAAATTCAATATCCGGTACAAATAGTGGTTCATATTTATATGATTCTCTTTATCATCCACATACTTCATATTATCAACAGTCATCAACATTTGCAAATCTAACATCATCATCATCATCATCTACATCACCATTATCAGCAACAACAGCAACAACAACAAATCTATTAACGACGGCCATTGATCCATATGATGTAACAACATTACCAACATTAACATCGGGAAAAATATTCGAACAAAACACTGCAACCAATTCTAATTGTATGACAACAACAACAACAACAACAACTCCAACAACCTTATTATCATCATCGACGACAACCACAACCACGACCACGACCACAACCACAACAACAACATCGACAACAAATACCCATCAACATCGACATATTAATGTACAATTAATGGATATTGAAATATGGAAACGTTTTTGTGATGTTAATAATGAAATGATTGTGACAAAAGGTGGTCGTCGTATGTTTCCATTGATTCGTTGTCAAATTGATGGTCTTGAACATCGTGCAATGTATTCAATTGTATTGGAATTTGTACAAATCGGTACACATCGTTGGAAATATCTAAATGGTAATTGGGTTGCAGGCGGTAAATCGGAACCACCACCACAAAATCTTCAAACATTCTATATTCATCCAGATTCACCGAATTTTGGTGCACATTGGATGAAAGAAGTTGTTAGTTTTACAAAAGTTAAATTAACCAATAAACCAACTACACAACAAGGACAGGTAGGCTGGCAAAAGGTAAAATTTTAATGAAAAAAAAACATATAATCCTAAAAAACGATCAAATAACCAAAAATCAAAAAAACAATTTTTTCTCTGTTTCCCATTTTTTTCAGGTCGTACTAAATTCATTGCATAAATATCAACCACGAATTCATATTGTACGTATTGAATCAACGGGAAACAATACCGGATCATCATCATCTGCTGCAACAACACCGACATCATCATCATCTACATCGACAAATCATTTAGATACAACAAAAACATCAGCTGCAATGATATCATCATCACCAAAATTAACAATGGATGCATTATGTGTATTATCTAGATCATTATATCAAAATCAACAAAATTTTCATACTATCAATGATCATAATAATGATATTTGTGTTGGCGATGATGAATTCGGACAATCATCATCAACATCAAATGATTGTGTGAATATATTTAATAATAATGGTGGTGGTGTTGGTGTTGGCGGTGGACAATCATCAAATCAAGATAATCAATGTTTATCATCAATATCGCCTGTTGTTAGTAGTAATAGTAGTAGTAGTAATATAGATGGTGGAATAACAATAACTGGATCAAATCTATTATCATCAGATAATGGAGGTGAAAGAACAAATAATAACAACAACTCGATAATAAATGAAGATTGTATTGATTCATTTTGTGGTGGTAATAAAATTGTTACCTATACATTTAAAGAGACACAATTTATAGCGGTTACTGCATATCAAAATGAAGATGTAAGTAATAATAATAATTATTTTTAAATCGATTACGATCGATTGATTGTTATTAAATTTGAAAAACAAATTTTTTTTCTCTTCCATTCTTATGATTATTTTCTTCATGATAAATTAAAAGGTAACACATTTAAAAATTCGTTATAATCCATTTGCAAAAGCATTTCAAGATATACGTGAAAAACCAAGTAGCCATCATTATTCTTCCAGTCATCATCATCATCATCATCATCATCATCATTCAAATCTTCATCATTCATCGACTGGATCAACATATGATCCACATATTCATCAACATCAACATCAACATTATTCACCAACATCACCATTCTATAATCAGCAACAAAGAATAAATACCGGTGCAACAAATTCAACCACAACAACATCTACTACTACAACTACAAATACAATTGCTACAAATAAAACAACAACAACAACATTATCATCCATTTCACCACCATTAACATCGACATCATCATTATCATCATCATCATCAACAGCAGCAGCAGCAGCATCGGCATCTGTTGCAGCAATGGTAATTGGTAATGATAATCAATCATCGACTTCATCAATGTTAACGGCTTTTACAACAACAACACCATCGACAACAATATCAACAATGAGTGATGATGATATGATCACATCGATGACATCATCATCATCATCATTATCACAATCAATAATGAATTCTACATTGAATCCACATTATCATCATCAACCATGGATGGATAATCATCAACAAATCGATAATCATCATCAAACATCATCAATGAATAATATGATGATGGACATTGGATATGTAAATCAGAATATAACAAATAATAATTTTACAACAACACAGCAGCCATTATCATCATATGGAACGACGTCAACATGGCCAATATCCGGTATTACTGGAACAGAAACTGTAAATCATAATCAATCATCATATTATCCATCAACAATGATGCATCCATCTTATACAACAGCAACAGGACCACAATCATCATCAATGGAACAACAATCAACAAGTGAACAATTATTCAATGTTCCACCTTGTTATCAATCTACATATACATCATCATCATCATCATCATATTATAATAGTGTTAGTGGTGATAATTATTCATCAATCGGTTATCAACAATATAATCATCCTAATCACAGATATCAATCAAGTGCCAATTATATTCCATCAATATCACTAACACCTCCGCCAATACCACCATTACCACAAATAACAACAACAACAGCATCTACATTTTGGCCATCATCATCATTATCCGATCAACATGAAAATAATGATGATGATGATGAAGAATCAATGATTAAGAATCAATCATTTTCAAATATAATACAAGTGAAACAAGAAGATAATCATCAACAACAACAGAATCAAGAATCATCGCCAATAAATTTATTAATGGATCATCATAAACCTATGGCGATAACAACGCCATCACAATCAATGTCACAATTAACAAAATTATTAGTACAACCTTTATCATCATCTTCATCATCATCATGGAATCCATCATCATCATCATCAAACATGATGATGATTAATGGCAATACAAATCAATGGCATCATCATCATCATCATCATCTTCATCATAATTATCAATCATCATCATCAATAATGAATGAAAATAATGATAATTTCAATATAAAACAAATGACAACCACAAACATTGAAGATATTGATAATGATAATCAAATTAAATCATCATCATCATCATCATTATCGATTCCAATTGTAAATGAAACAAATAGAATAATGATGATCAATAATGTTGATAATAATGAATTGTTGTCAATGAATAAAAAGCGATACGTAATAATTCAACGACGACAACAAAAATGGAAAATGATGATGATGATATGGAATTTCAATCAAAATCAACCATAATCACTAAATCATCATCATCATCAAAAGGCTTAGGGCATGCAATAATAGTATTAATTTACATGGCCATGGTCAACAACAACAACATACAACAACGATTAAAACTGAAACAGAACAACAACAACAGGAACAAATTGCCGGTGATGAAACGTAATGCACACGCGTACACACTCATACACAAAATACAATTTTTTTGTTTCAAATAAAACGATAATTTATTTAAATTAAACAAAACAAAAAAAATGAATGTTTTTCAATCCATTTTCCCCTCACACCACCACCACCACCACCAACACCACTACTACTACCAAAATTATCTCTAATTAATATATTGAAATTAATGTGAAAATGAGAAGAAAAATCTGCTGCTGCTGCTGTTGTTGTTGTTGAAATATGATTTTTGGATAATAAAATTTTTCATTTTTTCATTATAAATTACAAAATAACAAATGGTCATTCTTTTGAATTGTTGAACAATTCATGTTTAAAAATTATTGGCGACAACAAAAAAAGCATTACAAATTCATCGTCAAATCAATGTGTGTGTGTGTGTGTGTGTGTGTGAGTGAATGAGTGAGAGAAAAAAATGACAAAAATGATGAAAAGCAAAATGATGAATAATTAGACTATAAAAGTTAATGATGACCCGTGAATAGAATATAAAAACCAAACGCACACACACACACACACACACACACACACACACACACACACTCATATTGTGTTTGATATGAAAATTGAAAATGTCAGTGAATGAAATTTTGGTTACAAAAAATGTGCAGTAAAATTTAAATTTTTCATCATTGTTTGATTTGATTTTGGATTTGGAATTTTTTTTTTTGAATTTTTTTCTTTCATTCTTTTTTTGTGAGTGAAGAGAATATGATAATTTATCGAAAAAAAAAATAAAACAATAATCTTTGGCCGAAATAATAATGGAGAAAATTGGAAAAAAAACAGAATAAATAACGATAATGTAAATAGCAAAAAAGTGGATATGAGTGTTTGTCCAGTGTGTGATGTGCTTTGATTGATTGATTGATTGATTGATTGGGTGTGTTTGATAGATAGATAGAATGGATGAAGTGAAAAGAAAAAAAACAAATTAAACAATTGCCGTTGCAATCTTTGTTGTTATATCGGTATCTGAAAATGTTGACAATGGTGGCGATGAATTTATTATCTTCATTTCGGTTTTCATTTTCATTCGATCTTCATCATCTGGATCATCGTGATGATGATTATTATTATCATTTATAATTGTAATTGGATTTTTTATCAATTTTTCATTTTCATAAATCGGTTTATTGACAATTGTTGCTAATTCATTATTCGTTGTTGTCGTGGTTACGGTTTTCACAGTTGTATCAGTGACATTTGATGATGATGATGTTGAAGATGACGATGGTGGTAGTTGTTGTTGTGGTGACGATGACGTTGATGATGGAAGTGGTAATGGTATTTTTGTAATGTTTTTTGTCGGTGATAATGATCCACCCATTGTTGGATTAGGATTTGGTATAGCCATTGCCGTTGTTGCTGTCGTTGCAGCCGTTGTAGCTGCTACAGCATTCATTTGACGAATAAATTGTTGCTGTTGCTGTTCTTGTATCGATAATCGTTTGGTTCGTGGTGAAAATCCTTTTGGTAATGTTTTTCTTCCATTTAAATATTCTTGACGAATTACATCAACATTATTACCATTGTTGGTGATTTGAATCGGATTATTAGTATAATATTCACGTTCATGACGCATTTTAATATCCAATAAAACTTCTTCAACTTCACCTAATAATGGACGTTTCAATGGATCACCAGCCCAACAACGTTCCATTAGATTGAAACATTCATCATCAAATATGGCAAGTTTTTCTGGTCGAAGACCTAAATGAAAACAAAATATCGGATTGGTGATTTTTGAACAGAACCAAAAAAAAAAAATCCATACCTTTTTTAACGGCAATCCATAAATGATCTTTATTATGACATTGTTCAAAAATCTGTGGCAATTCAACGGATCCTGCACAAATATACCAGAATAGTATACCAAATGCATAAACATCGACCATTGAATCATATTTTCCAGTAAAAACTTCTGGTGCCATATGAATGGGCGTACCAACAATACTACCAGAAATCATAACTTCAGATTTACAGAATCCAAGATCGGTAATTTTTGCACGATTATATTTATCTAATAGTACATTTTTGAGTTTAATATCACGATGTATAAGGCCATGATTATGTAGGAAACGTAATCCATGTACAACATCGAATGCAATCTGCAAACGTTGTAACCATTCTAAACCGGATTTAAGACCAACATATAAATCACGAACCATACGATCCATAATAAGATAAACATATGATGATGCACCATTATAATTATGTTCAATAATTGAACCACGAATCTGTACAATACGATCAGTTTCAGGTAATGAACGTGTATAATAGAATTCCATGGCTAAATCATTCCAATGTTTATCATCACAGATCATTATTGATTTGACGGCAATCCGAGAATAATTGCCCCAACTTTTTTTCGTTGAAAACACAACACCATATTGACCACGTCCGATTTCTTTACCCAATTCCGGTGAACCATAAAGAATGGCATCAATAAACGATGTAGATTCCAATGCTAGCCTTGCAAATAATGGTGCATCATTTTTTCGTACCTGTTGACGACGATGATCAATTTCTTTCAATCGTGTGACCAATGTTGTTTCTAATTGAAAACCAAAAACATTAGAAAAAAATATAAAAAAAAACCAAAAAAATAAACATACCTAGATTAGCTAATGAATTCAGAAAAGTTTCATGTGCTAATTTTAATTTTTCCCGAAATTGTGTACAAATACATTTAGCCAGTTTAGCTTCAGATAAATTATCCAACAAATCAGCTGACACTTTACGTTTCCATTCAGCATCAATACGACAGGTTGGTTTCCATGCGATGCTAAGCATGAGGAAAAAATTTTTCATTTTTTCCCAAAATATCCTCAACATTGATGAACAGCTATTGGCATTAATCTCGATTGAATATGCTAAATTCAACAAACGTGATAATGCTAAATCAATTTTTTCTTCTTGCACACGTTGATGATGATGATTATAATGACCATTTATTAATTTTGGATTTACAGGAACCATTTTCATATTATCAGCAATCAAATGTTTATTATTATGACCATTATTTATTAAATGGCCACCGCCACCACCACCACCACCACCATTGCCACCACCAAAACCAAATGTATCACGACGTTGTCGATATTCTTCCAATTGTTTTAGACAACGTTGTAAGGTTCCTATAGGGTTGTTTTATTAAGTATTAGACAAAATCAAAATTTTTTCTTCAATAATAAAAAAAAAGACATACCAATAAAACTTTCACGCATTATATCAACGGAACCAATTAATTTAACAGCGATAGCACGATTAAGTGTCATGAATACAAAATCCTGTATTTCTTCGGCACAATGTTTCACTTCGGCAGCCGATACCATTGGATTTGTGTTGAAAACTGGATTACCAAATCGATATGATGAAGCCTGTGTAAGAATATCATCACGCATAAATTGTAATGTTTCACCAATCAATTGACGAATTTCTTCCTGTTTACGATTAGCAATACCCATTAATGACATATATAGTTCAGCCTCTTTTTTACGTGCATATTCCAAACGTTTTGGTATACAATAATTCAGATTCCATGTCATATCGAATGCAGTGAATATATAGTACTGTATGAATTGATTATGGATTTCATTCAACAATGTTGCCGCCACCACAAGATTTGATTTCAATATTGAACGAAAAAAATCAACAAAATAACAAAATTCATATGAATGACAAATAAAACGTGACGATACATCCATTCCATTGTCGGCATTCTGTTTGGAGCATTTAAATGGTCTATCATTGATTATATAATAACCGTTTGATTGATGTTTTTGCCGCCTATCCATTGGCGCTTGTAATGCAACTGTTGAAGGCATTTCCTGGAAGAAACCCATCTCTCTTAATTGTTTCCATATGAATTCTGAACCTTGTAGATATGATTGTGATTTATTAATGCTTTGCATACTTTTGCTTTGTGTTGTATTATTACTACATGATAATGATGATGATGATGATGATGTTGTCTGTGATGGTAATGTACATGGTGATGAATGTGTCGATGATGTGGATTCAGAACGTTTCAATGAAACCAAACCAATTGGTTGTTCACCCAAACAATGTGTATTACGACGTGCAGGCAATTTTTTCGCCGTTGTTGTTTTTGTCATATTCATCGTCGTCGTAGTCGTCTTTGTTGTTGGATTCGTAATATTTGGAATAAATTCAGCTGAACATGAATTACCATTTGACTTAGTTTGATTCAAGTTGGATTTGACTTCATCGTTCATATGATCAACGATTATTTGTGGTTGTGGTTGTTGTTGTTGTTTTGTTGTTGCTGTTTTACATTGGAAATTTTTGCCGATATACGACTTGGTGCTACTGGTGGATCCATGGTAAAACGATACATATTCGATGATGGATAATGAGTTTGTGATCCATTAGGATTCGTCAATGGATATGATGGATGTGCATGATATGGATATGCACCAGCAGGATGATGATGATAAACAGAATTAAAATCCATAATATGGGCAAAAAATATCGGCGTCGATGGCATTCGTTGTCGTAATTGTTGTAAATGACGACGATCGGTTTCGGTAAGCATTTCATCCGATCTTTCAAAACAATATATTATTATTGGATTCGTACGGCTAAATGTGGTACGATATATCAAATCAAATGATTCAACATCCGGTGCGACACGTATCTGTAGATTTTTCTCCAATAATTCATGTGGCAATACAATTTCCATTGTGGTCATTTCGTTAACAAAATCTGTTTGACTAAGCATTTCATCTTCACCAAATTCAACATCTTCATCATCATCATCGTCATCGTCATCATCTTCTAGATCATCATATGGTACGAAACTAGATTTCAGATTCATCGTCGTTTGTTTAATAGTTGCCATTCCATTACCATCGCCAACAACATTTCCATTATCACCAACAGGTCCACCTGATTGTCCACGTTGTTGTAATAAAAGATTGACATTTTGTTGACTAGAATAACCTGATGAATGTCCATGGCGATGACCAACACCAACACCAACACCATTGACACCGCCACCACCTGCATTTTGTATCACATGATTAACAGCAGCAGCTACTGCTGCAGCACCTGTATTTGCTGTATTCGTCTGGTTTAATTTTTCTGATTGGGGCCGTGATTGACCGGCCATTCTTACTTGATTATTATGACGATTAACATGATTCGATGTAGTGGTTGGTGCCGATTTTATCAATGAACATGATGAATTAAATGATAATGTTGTCGGTGTATTAGATGATTGATCATTTCCAGCTGAATCAAGACCACTGGAAGCATTACTACCACCACTACCACCATTGATACCGCCACGATCACCATTGGTCATACCATTCACTAATGATGTTTGTAAACCATCTGAATAACCATCAGATAATTCTGGATTCGATGATAAAAGATCATCATGTGTACCATTAGCTGATGCTAATAATGTTGGATCATCTTGTAGAAAATCTAAACGAAGATCTTCAAATGAAACAACACGTTCAGTATGTAATGGTGAACATTCTAATAATTCAAAATGTCTTATACAGAATGCTAAACGTCTTTGTGTACCATATTGAATTCGTACAGAACGTCTTGGTTGTTTATAATCAGGATCATATACATCGAATACCTATGAATTTTTTTTGACGAGAAAAAAAAATCAAAGTAAAAAAAAAAAAATTTTTTTTTTTACATCATAACTTACAGGTAAAAGCTCATAACCAAGCATATAATTAACTATACGAGCTTTAACACATGGCCGGCTACCCATCAATACGATTGATATTGGATTGTCCAACATATTACGTATATAACGTTCATCATCAAATTTTAATGACATTTCCTGGAATTTATCTGCATACATACAGACGAAAAATAAAAAAAAAAACAATTTTGAATGAATAATATTGAAATTGTGCTGATGGGAAAAAAAATCATAATTTTAATGGAAACAACAACAACAAAAAAAACCAAGAAAAATTTTGCCAATCATCATTTGTTGATGACAATTTGCTTGAAATAAGAATTGTTATCTTTTTTTTTTTTTTGATTCTACAAAAAAAACTGAAATAAATTCTAAAATCACATCATAACTTCATATATTCATGCAATTTCCATATATGAGTCACTTTATTATGGATTTAATCGATGGATGTGATAAAAAGTGAAAAATGTAAATGAAAAAATAAACTTTACCTTTACTGATGTTACGTTTATGTAATGCATCATTACATTGGGCCAATGTTTCATTAAAAATGGCCCGTAATAGACGTTTTTTATCGTCAAAATATTCGGCCTCATAACGCATTTGTTGTTGCATTTTTGGCTATCGTTTTTATTATTGGATTAAATTGGATGAACGATTGATAAGGATATTGGTAAAAAAACGATAGATGGCGCACTCTTGCAACCATATGCAAACAGACACACACACACACTGGCGAACACGTGTTTTGTTGATTTTTTTATTTTGTTCTGTTTTTTTTATCTTTCGTATGAAAAACGAATTTGTATTCGTAATAAAACAATTAATTAATTTAACAAAAAAGTTAACGTGCAATGCACGTGCAAGTTTTTTTCGCAAGACAAATCAGACAAATTTTTTTTCCTTATAAAAACGATAATGATGACAATGATGATGATTATGATTGATAATGGGTAACGTTTTGTTTATCTCTAAATCAACATATTAATTTAGATCAATTGATTGATGGATTGTATGGCGACATTTTATAATAATAAAAAAATTCTGGCACATAACACTCACACACACACACACAGACGAAAATGTACCGATTTATAAAATCGGACATTGAAAATGGAAATAAAGATGGAAATGGCACTTTTTTTACGGTTATTATGCAAAAGTTGATCATCAATTAATATATAGCATTATTATATATGTCTGTTCACCTGTTGTTGCATATATAAAATGATGATGATGATATTTTGTTGTTGTTGTTGTCAAAAAACAATATAATTTTGTCGATATTTCATTGATGATGATGATGACATTTTATGTAACATTATGATTTCATATCAAATGGATAAATCTGTCCAGAGCCATTTTTTAATGATTATTGTTGAGAAAATAGATGAAAATTTGATTATTAATTAATTTTAATTTCAGAAATTTTTTTTTAATTTTAAAATTCAGACACACACACACACACACAAAAACTTGAACAATAATAATTCAGTTATTATTCACAATGATGACTATGTTTATGTTGATGTTGATATTGATGTTGATGATGATGATGATGATGATGATGATGATGATGATGATGATGAAATTTCAATATTTCTTTTCATCATCATCACTACGTTGATCTGTGATTTGTGATGTTTGATTTATTTCTTTTTTATTTCACTTTTTTTTTTTTGGTTTGGCTATTTTGATTGAACATCAAGTCAAACTTCGATGGATGAAAGATGTGATCCTTTTTAAAAGCACTTCGTTTTCTCACATCGATCTCAATGTGATTATTTATCATTTATTTATATATATATATTTAATGTGATAGCAGCGATAATCAATAATCATCAATCAATAATCATCATCAAATTTATAAACAATTTTTTTTTTATTGTATCAAATAATACCACTATGACAGATTTTTTTTTCTGTTGTTATGAACAACCAAACACACACACACACAGATATATAGAAATCAGAAATTAAGATTTTTTGCACTGTAATATTTTTATGATGATGATATGGAGAAAAATTTTTTCTTCTTCTGTACAATATGACGATGATGATGACAATTGTTGACCATTCCACTACTTGTTGCTTGCTTGCTCTCTCTCTCTCTCGCTTTTCTTTCTGTAATCAATGATTGGAAATCGATGATTTCTTTTTTTTATTATTATTATCTCGTCAATATTTGAGTATGATTGAAATTTCTTATCACACACACACACACATTTACAGGATTCACTCTCTCTCTGAGTCACATTTTTAAAAATTTAAAAAAAATTTGTAAAATTGAAAATAATTTCGATGATGATGACAAACAACACTAGCACACGATATCGACAAAATCGATCCGAACAAAAAAAAATATCGATTAAACTTTGAAATTCATATTTTTCGGTTTCAAATCACAAAAAAAAATTGCAAACACATCACAATCAATCATCAATCAATCAATCAATCAATTTTTTTTCATAATTAGTATGCAGAAAACAAAAATCAATGGCGCTACTGACAATTTTTTTTTCAACACTTGTTTTTGATTTTTCCAGTTGAATGAATCGATTGATCAATTGATTGATCAATTGATTGAACAAATATACCAAAATTTTTTCCCTCCAGTTAATAATATTCACTTTCATTGACCTAATGGTTTGTTTGTTTGTTCATATTGATTTTTCAGGTTGATTGGCCGATTTTTTTTCACTCCATTTCTTTGTTGTTGTTGTTGTTGTTGTTTTTGTTTTTGTTTTGTTGAGAAAAAAAAAGAACAAACAACGCAATTAAGCCCCAACAAAAAAAAAACACAAAACATGATCAAAGGACCTAAGCACTCAATCAGATTAGATAAATTGTTGACAATTTTTTATTGAAATTTTTTCTTTTTTTTCGACATTTATTATCTGTTGTAAAATGTACCGAACAAACAAACGAAAAAAAAACCAATGAAAAGGTCAATGTCAATGAGCAAAATGAATTTGAAACAAACAAAAAAAAAATTCGGCTGAATAACAGCAGCAGCAGTAATGTGTGTGTGTGTGTGTGTGAAATAACCATACAGCTTGATTTGAAGGCTATATCTATCTCTAACCGGCAGAAAAACGAAACGAAACGAAACAAAATTTTTTCGATGAAAAAAAAGACAAAATTTCAGTAGCAAATTTTATCAAAATTTATTTTTTTTTTTTGGTTATCATCATCATATTATGATTATGATTAATTTTTTTTCGGAGAAGAAGAAGAAGAAGCGATCAAAGTTTTGTTTAAATGTTTTTTTTTTCACTGGATCCAACAAACAAAATTAGACGAAATGAATGGATCAAACAAAAAAATGTATCTAAAATTGACATGGAATTTAATCTTTACCGTTGTCAAAATTTTTTTTCATGAAAACTGGTGGGAATTGAATTCAAAAAAAAAAAAAATCTGGAAACCAACGGTTATGCGATAAAATTTTTCCATGTTTTTTGTTCTCGTTGTTCTTTCTGTCTGCCTGTCTCTCTCTCTCTCTCTTTTGAACATTGAACTTGAAAATTATTTGAATATCCGTCAGGCAAACATGTTAATGTCGCTCTTTTTCTCAATGAATGCGATACGAATGTATTGATTTGATTTGTTTTTTTTTTCATTGATTTTAATTTTGACAATCATAAAATTCATTGATTGATCATCATCATCATCATCATCATTCGATAATCATCATCTTGATTATTTTGACATTTCTGTTGTTGTTGTTGTTGTTGTTGTTATTGTTTCTGTTGATTTTTTTGAAACTTTTGATATTTTTAAAATTTGAAAAAAAATTTACAAAATAGACTTTCGGTTGGACAACAAAAAAAACCAAAACAAGAATATCCCTTTATATAAAAGTAATCATTGAACATATCAAACACATATTTACCAGAAAAAAATAGCCCAATCTGGTCAATGACCAAAACAAATTTTTTTTCTTTTCTGATGAACATTACTCATTATCATCATTTATCGTGGCAAAACAACCACAACCACAACAACAACAACAACAACAACAAAATGAAAATTTTTTTTAATCGGACAAATTATAGAAAAAAAAGTGAAAATCAAAAAAAAAAAAAAAAAAAAAGATATAACATGATGATAGACAAACAAAACAAGATAAAAAAGTGAAAAAAAAATAAATAAAAAACTGAAAACAAGTGACAATCATTAGCCATTATGGTCTTCATTACAGCCATATTATCAGTAAATGATGATGATGATGATGGTAAACAAAATTGAGACAATAATCGATTCAGACATTGTCGCGACCAGAAAAAAAAATAAATATCAACAACCTATTTCGACAACGGCGGCCAATTATTTTACGAATGAAAATGAAATTTTTTTTGTTTTTTTTTCTTCTTTTTTGAATGACATTAACCCCTTTCTTTCTATGTTTATCGCTCATTTTATCTAATGGTAGGACAATTTTTTTTTCTATTGATGATGATAAATATATGTTGCATAGTTTGTTTACATAAATAATAAACATGACTTCTGTATTTTTTTTTCTGGATCATCTCCTATTCAATTTATTTTTTTTTCTTTAGATTATCATATATTCAGATGGGCTACTGCCCCGGAACCCTGTTCTGATAATAATGATGGGTTCATGGATCAGATTTTTTTTTTTTCATTAACCGATTGATCTAGTCTCTGTCATTATTTTTTTTTTTTGTTTCTTGTTTTTTGGGTACATGTTTCGAAAATGGGATACCATATGATCATCGATTTTGATATGAAGAAAAAAATTTTTTTTTGGACATTTGGACTTTCTAATGAATCCTGATGAATGGAAAATGTTTTTTTCTTTCCATTTTGCTCAATTGATAATGAAAAAATTGATTAAAATTAATTTTTTTTGATTGATTGATTTATTAATTGATTGATTGAATATGGCATTTTCATCGCTTGCATTTTCAATCATTAATCGCCATAATTTTAATTAATTAATCAATCAATTTTTTCATTCAATGGAAAAATAAAAAATGTTAAAAAAAAATTTCCAGCAATCAAATTGAATGAAACAACCAATCAATAAATAAATGATGAACTTGAATATATGTCTATATAGACTACTTTAATACGAAATATATCAGAATGAATGAATGAATGAAGAAATCATGCATACAGCGAATGATAGATTTGATTGAAAATGATCATAATGTCAACAACAACAACAACAACAAACAGCAACAGCAACAGCAACAGCAACGGCAGCAGTATCGATGATTGATTGAAATCAAATCACAAAATCTTGAAATTAATCATCAATCAAATTTAAAAAGATTTCATTATAATTTGGCTATATATATAATCATTGCACTTGAAAAATGATTTTTTTTTCTAATCGCTTCATGTCACCTTTTTCCAGATTTTTTTTTTTGCTCAGATTGATTGATTGAATGATTGCATGATTGACGGATGAAAATGGTTCCATGTGTTGTTGTTGTTGTTGTTGTTGTTTTGTGTTTGTGTGTCTCTCTCTCTCTGTGTGTGTGTGTGTGTCAATGATGATCATCATCCCATATATTTTAATTGAATAATCAGGACAGTGATGAATAAAACACAAAACAAAACAAAACAAAAAAAAAAAAAAAAAACAAAATTTATGGCTAACGATAATGATCTTGATTGAAATCATTTGATCAATATATATGATGGATATGATGGATATATATTTTTTTCCACACAAAATTTTTAGCTACTACTTGATATTTGAGTTCATTTCTAGTTCATTGATGTATTGATGAATTTAGATTAGTTGTGCAAAAAAAAATATATATTTTTTTTCTTTCCTTCTGGCAACCTATTCTGAATTGGTTTTCAAATTTTTGTTTGTTTTTCACACTGATAATAATAATCGTACGTCATAAAAAAAAAATTAATTGTTGGCTTTTTCTTTATTTTTATTCATTCAAAATGTAATATCATCATCATCATCATCATCATTGATATATAAATTAATCACGAAAAAAAACTAATCATGACAGTCTAGCGTAATAGTTTGTGTGTGTGTGGGTGTATTTGCCGTATTTTTTTTCATTTTATGTGTTTATCAAAAAACAAACAAACAATTTTTTTTTCTGAATCTGAATCAGGGAGTAGAAACGACAAATGAAAAATTTTATATAACTCACATCGATCATCAATATTGATTGATTGATTGATTGATTGATTGATTGAATGAATGAATGAATGAAAATGAAATGTAATGTTGATTGCTGGAATTCATCAATTCAATTCAATTAATAATCTCAACCATCGTTTAGTTTTTAATTAAGAATTGCGAAATGTTTAAATATTTGTCTTGATTTTTCTTTTTGTGGTTTTTTTCATTGATTCCAAAATAATTTTTTTTGGGGAAATTTTTTTCAATTTCGATTTTGTAACAATATTGTGTAACACTATAGCAGTAGCGAGAAACAAAAAATTTGTTTATTTTAGATTAATATCGATGATAGAAAATTGATCGATTGATTCATGGATGGATGGATGGATGGATGTACTTTTTTTTTCTTTTCCTTTTTTTACTTTTCCTTTTATATTTTTTTTTTCGTACATTCACCTATCAAATATGATGATCACAGTATCCCAGCCATATTAGTACACACACACACACAGACACAGACAAATAAATCGAATCACCACCGATTGAATGATTGTCTAATTGATCAAATCACCGAACCGACCGATCGATGATCTGAATCCAAACATCATCATCACCATCATCGTTATCGAATCAAGAAATAGCGACAGAGAGAGAGAGAGAAGAAATGGAAAAAATGAAATAAAATCATCATTCTCAAGTACAAGAGACACACACACACAAAAAAAACCAGATGAGAATAGAAATATACCCAAAAATAAGTTTTTTCTTTTCTTCTCAAAATAAACACCTAAATCAAATAAAAATGTATTAATTACTTATCATGCATGTTACACTAATTACGAAACAAACAAACAAACAAAATTCATTTCAAATGAAAAAAAAAAATCTAGAATTTTTTTTTTGGGGGATCGATAATATGAAAAAAAAATTTCTTTTCATTTTGATAATACAGTATTAATTTACAAGTGGATAGAAAAAATTTGTTTGAATTTTTTTTTATCATTATTGTGCTCTGTCTGTATGTGTGTGTGGGTGTGTGCGAGTTAGTGAGTGAGTGAGTGAGTGGTATGTTACATACATTCAGTGCAAACAATGTTCATCATCGATTATCATCGACGACGACGATGATGATGATCATGATGATGATGATCAAATCTGATTTCTGATCCGATTTGATCCACATTGATCCGATTTGTTCCGAATTTTTTTTTTTTGTAGACTTCAATCCTAAGAAATTAGATTGGATGATATAAAAAATGTATTTTTTTCGACAACAACAACAACAATGATGATGATGATGATGATTTTGCTTATTTTTCCAAATTATTATCATGGCTAAAAATAATTTCTATTTCTACGAAAAGAAAAAAAACATTCGTGGCATTAGTAGAGTTTCATTTTTTTTTAGTTCTACTAGAATTCTCATTCAATTTAAAGTAGATTAATTTTCTGTAAAACGTGAAAAATTCAAGGATCGATAAATATACACTATAAACATTGATTGATTGTGCAATATAAATATTTTCAATCAATCAATCAATCAATCAATCAATATAAATCAATCAAAATATTAATCTATTTGATAGGATCAATTTTTCGTTACTCTTTGGTTGCTCTTCGATCATGTCATCATCATGAAAATAAATTGTAAATTTTTCCATTGCTTCTATAAAATGAAACAATCCAAATAATAATAAATGAAAAAAATAAATCATTTTTAATCAATCAATCGATTGATTGATCATCATGATCAAATGAATAAACAAAACAAAAATGAAATAAATTTGATGACATTTTCACATTTTTTTTTGTTTTGACAATCAATCAATCAATGAAACGAGAGAATCTAAAAAAAATGTACATTATTTTTCATTGGATCACTAGTCCATCATCATCATCATCATCATCATCATCATCGTGGATGACACATGCACATGAAACATTAACCTTTTTTTTCTGTCTGTCTGTTTGTTTGTTTGTTTCTGGGTTACTGTTAATTTTTTTTTCTGTTTGTTTTTCATTTTCTGATTCATCGTTGATCATCATCATTCATAATTGAAACAATAACACAATAATCACACAACTGAAAGGACGTCCCATTCTTGAAAAAAAAGACAAGCCTACAATAATAATAATAATAAGCATCTTGAAAGTGTTTATTATAATAATCAAGAACAACGAAAAGAAGAAAAAATTTTTTGTTCCCCATCATCTATCGACAATCGATCGGGTTGAAAAAAATTTTTTGAACAGCCAATCATCGTCAATCAATCAATCAATCAAATTCAGCCAAAAACAAAAAACCTGAAACCAGAAAAAAATATATGAAAAAAAAATATTAGATTTTGAACTTTGTACATTGATGTGAAGAAACAAGAAATTTTCTCGACATTTTTTTTTTTTTTTTTTTGTTTCAATCGTTGGTTGGGTTGTTGCCATTTTGATTTTGCCCAGTTTGTATTTTTAATCAATTGAAATTGAAGAACCGGAAATTTTTCCTTTTTTTTTGACAAATAATTCAATACTTGTTTTTTTTACCAAATGATTATGATGATTTGTTTGATCGAATGATCAATCAATCAATCAATCGATTAATCGATTGATTGACATTTGGTAGTCGTTTGTCTTGTGATTTTGGCCAATCAAATTTTGTCTATATATATTTAATAATAATTTAATTTTTCATCACACGCATCATAACACATATATATCGATAATTTTTTTTTTATTTGATGAAAAAAAAATTAATTACAAATCAAATCAAATCAAATGAAAAAAAAAATCAAATCGAATCAAATCGGATCAATATGAATTGAACCGATTTTAACCAGTTTTAACCGAACAGTTTTTTTTCCATTTCAACATAACGTATAAATGTGTGTGTGTTGATTTGATTTTTTTTTCTGGTTGCTGATAACAACAAAATTAGTTGAACACAAGTTTCAAGTTTCGAGCAACTTTTTTTTTCTTCTCGTCGTCGTCGTCGTCGTAGTAGTGGCCACCATAATGTGTGTGATTATAATGATGATTAAAATGAAACAAAAAATTTCACACATCATGATTATATTGTCGGTGTTTTCAATAATTAAATCTTTCAATTTTAATTTGATGATTTTTTTTGTTGTTCGTACTCTAATTATTTTTTTTCTATGATTGACGTCATCGTCATTGTTGTTGTTGTTGTTGTTTTAATCGAATCAAACATTCATTGTTTGGATTTTGTCTGTTTTTTTTTGTCGAAAATCTTCGAATTCGAGATTTATTTACCAGAGAAAAAAAAATATGAGAATTCCAATGAAAACAAAACGAAAAAAAAACCACACAAATTCAATGCCAATCATGTAAACAAAAATCCAGTAATACATTAAGTAGCCTCGTGCCTCTTTATTTTTTGATGATGATGATGATGATGTTGGTTTGACTGTTGTTTTTTTTTTTTTTTCATTCATTCATTTATCATATATTCAATATATTCGAAACGATTTCCGTCGGAAAAATAACTGATCCTAATAGAAAAAAAAAATTTCTCTCTCTCTCTCTATTTTCATTAAGAAATTGATCATTGAAGAGCAATGAAAACAAAAAAAAATATAGAAAAGAAAAACAAAAATGATAAATTTTCGCTTGTTGATGGCAATGATGATGGCCATGCATGTATGCATGGCAATGTTTCATGGTTCCTTTTTTTTGAATGTCTTTCAATGTTATTTTTTTTCTCATGTTTACTTTGTGGTGAAAGAAAAAAAAATGAAAATCAAAAAATCGGTTGCCATACATTTACAATTTGTATATAATAATAATAATAATAATAAAATAATTGTGCTATAATATTTCAATCAATCAATCGAAACCAAAAAGAAAAAATGAAAAAAATGATCGATATTGAAATTGAAATGAAAATAATAAATCAAAATCCATCAATCTACTCTCATTAATACAGGAATGATGATGATGATGATTGTGATATAATAAACCAAATTCAATGCCAAGGCTTATAGACAAGAAAAGGTGATAAACAAAAACAGAAAAAAAAATTAAAATGAAATGAAATAAAATGAAATTTAGCAAGATGAATAAAATGATAAAACAAAGAAAAATAAAATATCATGATCAGTAAAAAATAATGTGAAAAAAAAATTTGATAAACATTGACAGCAGCCATTACATTACACAAAAATCGATCAATCAGGCCAACAACAACAACAACAACAACAAAATTGATTTTCATGAACTATTTTTAGTTTAATTTCAATTATATACACACACCCACTTAACAACCCATTTTTTTTCTCTTGTTTGTTCACCATCATTCTCATGTCCATCCATAAGAAAACAAAACCATCGATATTGATTGAAATGATTGAGAAAAAAAAAAATCATTCCATGGCCATTTTAGTGTATTAAAATATCAAATATCAAAATGGTTAGCAAAATAAAAAAAAAATCAAAACAAAAAAAAATTTCAAGCATCCATCCATATATATATATATTGTTTAATGAGATTATCAAATACTTAGTGAGTAAAAGAGAAAGAAAGAAAATCTCTCGAATTTTCTCGATTAAGATTGGCAAATTTTTTTTTCACCATTCCAACGTCTTACATAAACAATGATGAATTAATGAAGAAAGAGAGAGAGAGACTGGAAGCAAGATTTGTTGTCATGGTTTGGTATTTGGTTTGATTAGTTGAAATTGAAAAACAAAACACAAAACAAAACAAAACAAGAAAAACGAAAACAAAAACAGAAAAAAAATAGATAGATAGATTTTCACTTTTTTTCTCTCTCTCTCTCTCTCCACAATCATCGATCAAAGTTCATGAAATTTTTTTTTCTTCTTTCTGGCCAATCTAATAAATCGAAGTGGAAAAAAATGGAAAAAAAGAGGATAGGATACACCCGATTCAGGCGAAAAAAAAAGTTGAAGATAATTTTTGTGTTTTTTTTTTGTTTTGAAAATTTTTAATTGGCAGCAAAAAAAAAAATTGAAAGAACAAAAAGATTGTAAATAATGAAAATTTGGCACCTGATTCATTCGACACACGTGTAACAACCATTACATCCAACGTGCACGTTGTGCAAAAATCTGTCCTTGTAATGATCGTGCAAGAAACATTGCAAATAGCTATTTGAAAACCAGGAAAAAAAATTTTGAAAATTAGTTACGAAAAAAAAAAAAAAAAAAAAAAAATTACCTGTGCCAATGCTGATCCAAGACAAACGATTGCAACCAAATTCATATTACGATCAACCAATTCACTAATAGCTTCCACACATCCACGTGTATAAACATATTTATTAATTTCAACCACTGAACTTAGATTCTGCATATTATAGCCACACATTGAATTGATTTCTGTCTGTTTTGTTTATTTGAATAAAGGGTATTGAAAAAAATTTTTTGAACTGGAATGGAAATCAACGTTACCTTTAGATTACGACAACAGGAAAAAGGCACAGCACAACGTTCAGAACTTGGATTAATAAATGTACAATTGAAATAGATATTCATTGACCAATCTTTATAGCCATGATCCGAAATGCCACAACATTTAAATTGTAGCTGTATTATATCGATTAAATTCTGTAAATTTGAATCTTCACGATATTTTGTAATCATATCTTTTGATAGATGATCTTTAAGGAAATGTAAAACTGTTTGTGGAAATACAAATGCCAAACTTGATATTGTAACTTCACCGACAAATAATATTAACAGCATTAATGAATACTGGCAAAAAAAAATTGAAAACAAAAAACCAGACAAAATTATCATTTCAATACTAAGCAATAAATCAATGTACTGACCAATTTGATAAGGCAAAGATTTTCACGTAATGCTCCTAAACAACCCATTAAACTCATTGAAAATATAACCGAACCAGAAAATACTAATGCCACCGATATATGTAAAATGAAATCGAAAATATTACGCAATTTGAATAGATTGTATTCATATTCTTCGAAAAAAGACCAAACACCTAATGAAATCAATGTTGTACCAATTAGCCAGAATATAAGATTGAAAAAGAATAATGAATATTTAACATATGGTGATATGAATGTAAAATCTTCATCCAATAATGGTGGACAATGACGACAATGATGATGATGATGAGATGTTTGTGAATGTTGAATGGCAGCAGCAGCAGCAGCTTGATTACGATTATAATGATTGCTTGAATTATGGCCACAATTACGATTACGACGATGATTTGGCTGTCCACGAGCATAATGATAATTTATCTGGTTATTTTGATGACGATTCATCATCATTATTGATCTTGGATTATTTACAGGTTAGATAAAAATTCTATGTTTTTCTTTTTTTTGGAACTAAAATGAAAAATTTAACACAAAACAAAAACTCAATCACAATTCAGAAACCAGAATCATTTATTCGACTCACACAGACTCAGTTTGATTTGGATAACAATCATCATCATCATTTATGTATGTAAAGATTTGGAGCAAGAGAAAAAGATTTTGTTCCAAAATTGATTTATATAGTAAAAAAAAAAAATTCAACGAAAAAAAACAGAACTTACAGCGCCATCTACTAACAATGGATTCAAACATTATTCCAAATGATAACATTTTTTTATAATTTTATTATCCAATTTTAAATTTTAAATTTTAAATTAAATTCAAAATACGACGCACGAAAAACAATGATTAAATTATGAGCTAAACTAGAAGAAAAAAAATTTCACCAACTTTCACAACGTTTCGCCGGATTCATAGCTGAACCAATTGGACAATTGAAAGCTTTAGCGAATGCATCCAAATTACTGAGAGCACCATTTACACGATATTTGCCTGGTGAATGAACAGATTTCGATATACGAATCCGTGTCTGTACATGTGTACTAAATCGACACCATTTCTATTTGTGATTGAGATAAATGAATGATTTGATTTGATTTCAGAAACAAAAAAAAATCAATTATCTATGATACCTGTGCAAATGATATGAAAAATAACATATCAATAGAAAATTCTGGTAATTCTTGAATTCTTTGAACATGGATAGCCATCGATTGTGGTGATTGTCCATTGGAAATGGTACCATTTGGTGTTTGATTAGCCAAAAAACGTTTCGCCACATCTTGATAAGCATAATAGGCGGCTTGTATTCCGGCTAAATCACTCATATCTTCTTCAAATGTTCGTGTGCCATCAAGCTATCGAGAAAGTGATCAAGATGAATTAGATTTAAATATCTGTAAATAAATTAATGATTAATACTTACATGTAAATCAGCTTCTTTATCATAATAGCTTGTATATTGTGATACAAAACATTGTGCTTTAAATAGATAATCTTTAAGAATATTCATACTCCATGGTGGTAATAATTGATCAAATTCACTATAACGTGGTGTAACTGAATGACCCATTTCATGGCCAAAAAATGATCCTAATGATGCATAATTTAGATAGCTACAAAAAGTAAATAAATCATAATCATCAATGATTGATAACGGATGAAACATAAACAAATAAACTTACAATGGACGATCATCTTCATAGAATGGTGGTTGTAATAATCCCATTGGAATAGCTTAATTGATGATAAATTGAAAAAAATGAAATGAAATGAAATGACAGAATATTCATCATTCATAGAATAAAAACATACTGATCATATGTCCAACATAATCATATGTAGCACCAACATGTAATGGTAATGGATCCCAAAAATGGCTTTTATTTACACGTTCACCAATCTGTGATAATAGATGTAAAATTTTACATTCCTGTACCTTTGAATAGAATTTCATCAATGTAGTTAAATTATTTTTCTTCTTTTCCGGTATCGTGTAATTCTATTAATTGATTTGATTAAATAAAAATCGATTCAAACAAGAATTCAATCATCATCATTAGTCATCATACTACCAGAATACTATGGTAATTTTCCAAACTTTCATCATCCATCACCCAATCTGGATAACCGACATTGATATTGATTTTTTCTACTTTTTCAATCAATTCACGTTTAGGTTCATCGATCCAATTCTTTTTTCTCATTGATTCAATAAACGAATTTTTCACTGTTTCAATTATTTGCTGGGCATTTTGCCGTGCACTTGATGGTAGATTTTTTTCGGCAAAAATTCTTGCCATTAAATATGGTATCGATTGTAGCAATGGTTCTAAACATTGTTTTTTCATTGCTTTTAATCCTTCTCTTGATTCGGTGCTATAAAAATTTTGCTGTATATCTATTAATGATAATCAATCAATGATTGTTTTAATCATCATCACTCAATCAATCAATCAATCAATCAAACCTATGAATGTTGTGCCACCAAATTGATAACCAATTGAATCCATAACACGCCAGCCAATATAATTGGCAATAATACGTTGATCAGTACGTACTAATAATCGGCTCAATTCAATCAAATAATGAACATCAAACATTAGTTTGGTTTTAGCAAAATTCGAATCATTCATTATACGATGTGTACGTTGTATATTGTTCAATACGTAAAGCCAATCAATTTCCTGTATTAAACATCCTAATGTTTCCATTTTTCGTTGTATCATAAATTCTGGTCCCATACTTTTTTTAGCAATCTAAATTGAATAATTTTGAAAACATTAGCAATTAGCAATACAGAATGGAATCATCAAAATCATACATACATTGGCTAATTGTTTTTCAAATTTAATCATTTCCCATACTTCATCCATTGTTTCGTTTTGATGATTTTTAGCTCCAAAATGTGATGCCGTTGCAAGTATATAATTAGCATATGATTCTAAACGATTCAATTTTACTGATAATAATTTACGATGTGACACAATGAAACCACCGCTTTTGATCATTAAATATTTCATTTGTTTTTCATCAATATTTGATTCCAATTCAATGAATATATGATCATTATATTGATTGACAATGGTATGGAAATAATTTTCCCAACGATATTGATCACGATCAAAACGTTTTGTTAATAATGGCCAACCGCCAATATCTTGTAATACATGATTTAAAATATCAAAATCTGGTTCTTTTGTTGCCGATATACATTTCGTATACATTGTACGAATATTGGTAGCTAGTATCGTTTTCTCAAATTTTGATGGCAATTCAATTGATGGTGGCTGCGTTGTTGTGGACAATGATGAAGTGATATTTTTCGGCGGTAACAATAAAACTTGATCAATTGTGAGTAATTTTTCAAAATTTTCTTCAATTTTCAATTGAACTTTAACAAAATTATCATATTCTGATCCACCATTCGATAAGAATTGTACTAGATATTCTAATAAATGTTTACTTTCCCAACCATTACAAGCATAATCATAGAATGATTCACATGGATCAACTGAACGATTAATATATGTATTCATTTCGATTCCTTGTTTTGAACATTTTTTCGTTGAACAATAATCACGATGATGATCACCAAATGTTATTGTTTCCATCATTACCGTTGTACCATTTCGATATGAATCTTTTGAATCTATGGGTATTTCATTTGCTTTTCTAGAATTTCAGGAAAACAAAAATATGAAATACTTTACACATATACCTTAAACGACTTACATCTGATCAGTTATAGTTATCGATGTATCTTGTGGTGTTGGTGCCGTTGTCGATTTTGTTTGTCTATAATATGGACAGGTTTTATTACGCATATAATCACTAAAATATACGGTATTATTTCGATCATTTGAACAGCGGAAATTTTTCACACGTAATCGATAACGTTCCGATAATGTCCATGCCATACGACAACCACATTGAAGATTGAAACAATGACGGCCAACATCGATAGTATTTTTAAGATTTTCATCCAAAAATGGACGAAAAATTTCTTCAGATAAATGATCCAATTTCAAATTACAGCCATTTAATCCAAGATGAATTTTTAATGGTCTAAAACGACAACAATAAATGAATAGGAATTAGTACATTTTTTTTGATTGAATTCGAAAAACCTTTTAGCACCAAGAAATGATTCTGGTTCAAAACTACTTGAATTCAGATCATTATCGGTTAAATCAATCATCAATGTCAGATTGGATGGTTTATTCATACGAAATGCATATGCATGAATGAAATTGATGTGATTTTTACTCAATGATAATTGTTCTAAATGCAATAGATCGGCAAATGCGTCCGAACCGATTGATTGTATATTACCAGTTGTGATTTGTATTTCTGTCAATTGTGATTCAGTTTCATTCGATGACAATGCTGCTGCTGCTGCTGCTGCTGATGATGATGATGATGATGATGTGGATGTTTGTTCAATACCATCAGTGTTATTCAATGATGATGAATGTGAATCATCATCATCATCATCATCATTTTATTATCCACCAATGTCGTGGTAAAAGCTCTGAACAAACAGGAAAAAAAATCATTAAATTTAATGAAATTTTATTTGAAAAAAATACCTTTCTGGAATCATGGTCAAATTATTCTGATAAATAATCAATTTCTGTAGATTAATTAATGAACGAATTGATGCAAAAAAATCAAATTTTCCATTCAGTTCAGAGCTAAGATTTGTGCCATAAATGAACACAGTGTATACAGTGTATTCGGTACCAATGAATGCATTGCGATCGATAAATTTTAATTCATTACCACTTAATAAAATATTTGAAAATTTAATTCCATTAAACAATCGGTCTTCTAATATTGTTAAATTTCTTAAATTAATATAAATGGAATCAAAACGTTGCATATCTTCTGGTATCCATTTTGCATAATAAACGAATGTGTTTCGTAATTGTTCCGTAGCTGAACCAGAAATTGATGAACCACCACCACGGCATAGAATTTCTTTTTTACTTGCATTACATGTACATGGTAATAGAATATGATGATCATCTGAATGTGGACATTGTTGATATTGTTGATGATGATGTGATGTTGACGATGAAGAAGCTGATGTTGATGATGATGATGATGATGATTTGGAATGTACCGATGGTTGTACCGATGATGATGATGGTAATTGTTTTATTTGATTTATTTTTCCATTTGCCAATATAATTGATAAAATAGCTTCATCATCATCATCATCATCATAATAAAAAGAATCATCATCATTATTTAAATTTTCCAATCGAGAATATCGATTTGGCCATATAATTTTATTATGATAATGATGAACAGAATTTCTACAATACAATAATGCCGATGATTTTGGTAGATTTATTGTTGTGATTATCATTATGATAACCAATTTCCATATGATAATCATAAATGTTTGATTATGTTGAAACCAAAATTCTACTAATGATTTTAAAATTGATTTATTGATCATTTTATTCTTATTATTCACATTTTTTGATTTTTTATTCTTGAAATTCTTTTTGGCTGATTGATGCTTTGATGATTTTGATGATGAAGATGACGATGATGATGATAATGATGGCATGATTCATTCATAGCATTTTATTTTCATTCAAAAATTCTGGAGAGAAAAAAAACAAATTTTTTGATGAATTTTTTGGCCTGTACACATTTAGCCGGCTATGTGAAAAATATTTATTTATTTTTAGAATACAACAGAAACAACAGAAATCTGTGTGGACAAAAATGAAAAAAAAAATTAGCCACGAAACATCAATATGAAATGAGTATAGTATAACGGCGTCAAATCTTAGGCGTTCACGCACAAACACACACACACAAACTATATCGGGAAACAATTTTCGATAACGAAAAAAATTTCTGATCGGTTTATCGTTCAAATGAAATGAACGAAAAAATCCATAAATTAATAAATGAATGAATGAATGAATGAATTGATAATAAAAAAAAACAACAACATACATCATCAATGATTTGATGGCAAAAAAAATGAAAATCATGAAATTTGAATTCAGCCATGAAGTTTTTTTGTTTTTTTTGAATGAATGAAATCAAAGTCATTATCATCATCATGATCATCATCGAATGATTATCATACATTTAAATTTTTATATCTCCGAACAACAACAACAAAAACAACAACAACAAGTGAAAAAATCAGACCATAGATTACCGTTTTCTCATTGAATTAAAATTTGAATTTTTTGGAAATCACGATTAATATTGGCCCAACACATTGTATTACATCATATGTGCAAAACAAAAAAAAATAACAACAATAATAACTCTCACCACCACAAGATGTCGGTAATGATGTCAAAAATAAGAGATTTTTTCCAGTACTTTCTTTTGGCAATGTGGACCGACAGACAACATACACTGTGTTTGATAGAAATCGAAATCGAAATCGCACACACACACACACGCTACTTGAAGTTGAATTTCCAAAAGCTAATTTTTCGATTTTTTCCATTGATTATCCCGATCATCTCGATTATCCCGATTATATCCTGATTATCCAGAAACGCAAAAAAAATGGATCGTGAACTTCATGAACGATTATTTCGTATATGGGATGCAATTCTTCAAGCTCCACCAATTCGTTTTCTTGAAGTAATCAAATCCATTGTGGAGTTTTTCATTCTATTCATGATTGTTTTTTTTATTCACAAACAATTGTATTATTTTTTTCTCTATTATCTTGATTGAAAAACAAATCAAATGTGTTCAATTTTGATCGATTTTCATCATTTTTGATTAAATAAAAAAAACAACCCTTTTTATTTTGCTCATTTCATTTGCATTTGTTTTGTTTCCATTTTCGAAAAAAAACGAAATTTGTTTCGCATTCCAAATGATCCATTTCCATCATCATCATCACCATTATACTGATGGCAAAATAAACTTGTATCAGATCAACTTGTGTTTATTATTTTTCTTAAATTTTACCAAGATAAACAAACTTTTTGTTATTACAATCAATAATTTCCAAATCGCATCAGCAAAAAAAAAAAAAACCGTTGGAAAACAAGTGCCCAGTCAACCTTTGACTTTGATGATATATTCTTCATAGACATCGTGACATGTACATTTTTCTTTTCCATTATCATCATCATCATCATCATCCGCCCATTTTTTTTATGATAAATTATTATTATTGTTGTCAGAGTATATATATATATGACGCCCAAAAAATGCGATATATCGTGACTTTTGTTCATTTGTTTCTTTTTTTTTTTGTTTTTTTTTTTGCTATTTGAAAATTGTGTCCAATGTCTTTTTTTTTCTTCCTATTTCAATTTTATTTTTATTTTTTTTTTTTTTGTTACACAACAAACACAAACACACAAAGACAAATGTACAATGTTTTTGAATTTGATTTTGAATTTGGAACGAAAAAAAAATTCTGGCTTGTAGAATTAAAAATAGGAAGAAATTGAATTTTTTTTTCATTCAATTCAATTTCAAGAATTGTAAATGTTGAGATAATTAATTTTTTTGTTGTCTCTCTTGATTCTTTCGATTCTTGTGTCTGTGTGTGTGTGTATGTATGGTCGTATAATTGATGATGATGACGATTGTATTCTGTGATTCGTAGATTCAATTATTTTTTTTTTTACAAACAATTAAAAATGGCAAAAGATAGAAATTCTTTGATTCTCTTTTTTTTCTGGCTGATCTGGATTTCTTTGTTTTTCTGTTTCTATTCTCATCAATTCAATCATCAACCAACCAACCATGAATGAATGAATGAATGAATGAAAGACGAATATTTCTGTTTCTTGGTTTGAACAAAGAAAAAATACAAAAAAATACAAAAAAAATTCATAAAAAATGCATGAATCTTATGTTCCAGAAAATTATCTCAATGATGATGATGACGATGATGATGATGATTGATCAATACACGGAAAACTAACTACACGGATCTTTAAATTATTTACGGTCACCATATCTCTCTTTCTCGTGGTCTAAAATAGTCGAGACCTCAAAAAACAACAACAATGACCAAACAAGGCCTTAGGCCAGCGCAAAAAAAAACAACAGAAGTGTTAAAGCAACAACAACAACGACGACGACGACGACGTACGGAAAGAAACAAAAAAAAAATCTCCACTAATAAGGTTCTAAAATGTTTACTAATTGCATTTCAGATACGAAAAAAAAGCAATGAAAATTTAAATTGAATCACTGAAAAAAACAGCAAAAGAGAGAGAGAGAGAGAGAGAGAGATAATCATAAATCGTGATTGATCAACAGAAAAATTATGAACAAGAAAAAAAAAAAAAAATTCGTGATTCGGCTACGTGAACATAGAAAAAAAAATTGAATGAATTGAATTGAATTTGAAAAAAAACATACATACACACACACACACTGTCGACACATCAATATTGCACAACAATGATTATGGCAAAAAGCAAAACATCCCCCAAGAAGAAGAAAAATTATTATTAAATTGAATGAATTAGAGAGAGAGAGAGAGAGAGAGAAAAAAACGAATAGATCGATCGATCTAATAGATTGATCTGAATGCCAGACCATATTACTGCACTATAAACAAAAAAACAAAAAAAAACATCACCACCATCATCAACAATACCGCCAGTACCTACCATCACCTGGTCTAATTGCTTTTAAGGATGATAATAAAAAAAAATTCTCATTTATTTAACTTTCACTAATGTTAACCAAAAGAAAATGATCTTTGAACACAAACATACACACACACACACACGGATGCATCGAATCATCTTTCGGGTCTTTATCATCATCATCATCATCATCATCAGGATAATAATGATAATGATTGAAAGAATCGTGCACGACTAAACATTCAAACATTGAATCACATTGGAAAACATTTTTTTTTTTTTTTTTTTGGTTCCACAAAATGTTCATTATTCAAAATGTTTAAATCTAAAAACATTTTACATTTTTTTTTCTGTTTGGTTCATCATCATCATCATTATTTTGGTCAATATTTTAGCCAAAAAAATGTTGATTACTACAGGTGTTAACATTCAATCAATTCATTCATCATTTTGTTTAGAATGAAATGGAGAGATTTCCAGTTTGTTTTTTTTTATCAAACAAACCCTCCTTTTTCAGGAAAAAAAATCGATCGTGATCAATAATTTTGACCATATACGACATTTTTACTGAAGAAAATGGAAAAAAAATTCGATTGATTGATTCTGTAGGTGCGTGTGTGTGTGTGTGTTTGTGTGTGTTTGATGCAAAATTCATTCAATTTCTCAATATCCGAAAAGATATTCGTTAAAATTTTTTCTCGTTCCGTTTCGCATGGCTGTAAATGATGGTAATAATAAAATGCGATGACCTATGGTCATTGGCCATCATTTTTCTCCTCTAGACTGCGTAACAAATTCATTTTCTCCACACACATACACACACACACGGGAAACATTCGTTAATGAATAGAAAGAATATTTAATCATCAAAAAAAAAAAAAAAAAAAAAATTTAAATGAAACAAAAATTCAAATGGAATTTTGTGTGAAAATTTCATTTATCGATCACAATTTTTTGCCAATTCAATCCAATTTGAATTCAGTAATGATAGATTCGTCGAATATTGATTTTTCTAGATCGTTTTTTTTCTTCTTTTTCAAAATAAAAAACATCATTATTATCATGACTGGACATCGACTTTGGTCAATAACAATAAAATAATTGAGATTTTATCACCAAAGTAATTATGATGGCCATGGCAATTGATGATAATGTAATTGAGATGAAATCAGCTCGACTAAGGAAGTTGAATGATAGAAAAAAAATCCTCTATGGTCGATATGGTCAATTTTGTTTCCAGTCATCATCATCATCATCATCATGGCAATCGTTATCATTATCAGCATTATTGATCTTTATTTTGCCATCAACTTTGTCGTTGACTTCGTGTGAGTTCCAGGTATTTTATATTAGTGATATAGTCACATTTTTTTTTTCGTTGCCCACAATATTTTGTTTCGTTTCATTTCATAAGTTTTTCTTTTATCATTACAATTAAATTTCATATATAGTCAAAACACAAGACATA